AAAAAAAACCCAAAACAAAACAACCCCCCCCACCAACTTTACAAGTCTAAAGAGTACATTGAGCTCCCTCCTTTCTACCAAGTCTACCTCTCTCCTTTAAGGCAAAGTCACCAGTGCCTGAGCTCTTACTGAGTGAAGTAAGGGATGTTAGTCACTACTGCAGGTAAGGCAGAGTTCTCCCCGAGAACAGGCCGGGAAGTTTGTCAGGTTAGATTAGCCGCTACAGAGCTGGTCGTTTTGCAGCTAGAAAGATACTTAAGTTCCTCTGACAGTGTGGTTTAATGTGTGCATTCCAAACTAGGATGTTCAAACATCTCGGAAGTCTTGGAAGAGGAGTCTTCCTTACAAGGACCTTGACTTTTCTACCTGCCTTAATAGTAGGAACAGCAGGATAGAGCATGCTATTGCATAGCAAGGTGGCTAGGAGATAGCCTAGTATTGCTAGCCTTGCATAGCAAGGTTGTACAGGAGATGCTGTGCTCCGTCACAGTCACCCCGCTTAAGGGAGAAGGAGGAACAAAAGTCCAGACAAACTTCAATTTGAAGTTACTCAAAATTAGCTGCAAGAGCATTAGGTCAGGTCATGCATGAAAGTTTTCTTGAGGCTTCCTCTGAAGCATCTGGTATCAGCTACTGCCTCAGACAGGAAGACGCCTCAGACAGATCAGATCAATGGTCTGAGGTTTTACAGTAGCAGCATGTTTTTTTCCTCCCATCTGCCAGAGATAAATTATGCCTATACACGTTTTCTTATTGGAAAGGTATGACCATATCAGGATTTGTTTTCCTCTTACTTTGCATGCACACTGATGGCCTTCCCTTGAGTGAATGCTTCTATCCAACATGGAAACTGGTACCCAGAAGCAAGTCTTTAGCCCCCACCTCTCCCTCCCCCTCAGTCTAACTTCATTCTATTAATAGATGTGAGCTTTGCTGCAAACAAGAGGCTCTCACTACCTGGGGATGCGCAAAGCATTGGCACTGAAATGAGCTTCACTTATCAGCGCGCTGTTACTCAAGTTTGGCACGCTGCAAGTTATTTTCATGAGGAGGTAATACTGAGCAACCATTTTCCAGAGCCCTGAAAGAGTCAGAACAAAGGAACCCTCTTACCACTCCACACCTTCTTTGGACAGTACTAAAGCTCTATCTTCCTTAGGATGGCATTTGGATGGGTAATGAGTTTATCTGATGCTTTATCTGCTTCTTTGCTCTCCCCACTCGCATTTTACGGTTCTATCTGTGCCCGCCTGATTGCATCAGCATAAAGATACTAATTCTCCAGGGTGCAGCTTTATATATGTCACTAGCATTGCTGATGTTGACATTACTGATACCGTTGAAGTCAAGATGTCTTTTTTTAAAATAAGATCATTGCTGTGGGTTTTGGCTCTGTGAGGCCTGAACCAGCGCACCATGCATTGACAAGAAACAAGGGTAAAAAGCCCCACCACAAATCCAACAGCAGCAGCCACCACACAGAGCTAAACACAAACCTCCTGCTAGAGCTGCACTTTTTCTCAAACACAGCCAGTAGACTAGAAAACAGCACAGACGAGCTCTTTAGGCACCAGAAATCATTCTGCAGCAGCAGACTTCCTCTATTAGAAATTAAAAGAATCCACACACAATACTTTTTCCTGCTTTGGGGTCACCCGCTGCAGGTTTTCATGCCTTGCGCTCATACTGCAGACTTCTGTTAACGTGATTTATCCCTGCTTCTGTAAAACTTTGTAAGAATTTGATATTTTAGAGCTCTGACAAATTGTGTTGAAATTTGTCACCAACTTCAGAAATTAACAGTGATGAGGCATATACTCTGCCCCATTTCCAAATGAAATCAGGTTACTACTTACTTTATGGATGTGTTGGAAAGCAGAGTACTTTGTAGCTGTTTACAAAATGCACGTGGTTTTTGAGGAAGTTACTCATTCAGGGGAAGAAATCAAGACAGATTTGTTATGGGTACAACCTTGAACGAGCAGTTGTTTTCAATAGAAACCTCATACTTTCTACCAAAATCTTAACCTTCTCCTAGCTTCCTGTGAAAAAGCCTTGCTAAGAAGTCAGCCTTATGCATTTCAGTGATTCTATCCTTGCCATCCTTGTCAGAATTCCTTGCACAGACTTTTTTTATATCATAGTGATTATATATTGTGTGTTGTCAAAGACCCACAAGGAATTTAAAGAGTCAACAACAGATAGTCACTTAATATTTGCTTTTCAAGGCAAGGTAGCCTTGAATCTCTTTAAAAGATTCAGAAGTCTGCAATCTCAGGTGACTGCTGGAAGACAAGTATCTCAACACAGGAAACTTTTAGATACTGTGAAGTTTGTTTTGACTATACCTTGCATTTGTCTGCCTTTACTGAATTTGAACCTCATATAATGTACAAGCAGCATTTTTAGCGTAAGGTTTAATACCTGCTTATTCAATTCAATGACAAACTCTCAAAAGCAGTTAGACAAGACCTAACTGGGAACAGATCCTGATCAGGGTCCACACCAACTATCTCGACTACAGGCTATGCGAGTTTGCACACTCAGCACTCTGTTTCATGCCAGAAATTACATATTGCTATGAAAAAGCTCCTGTATTAACCTGGCAGCATATTTACTCTTAAAATGAATACAGACGCACCCAATACTTACTGCAACTGCAAATGTTTATTGTAGCACATTCCTATATTATGTAAACATTCAGACAGAGTATGTTTAGTGTCCTCCACATTTGTGCACAGTATACAGCATTTCATTATACCTTTTCACACACAAACCTATATGATTGTTGCTTACAAATGCAAGTTATCTAAAATATGCTTCCCTTTGTTTTTCTACTCTGCTCCCAGAGTGAATAGACTATAGAAAATAAGGCATCCATTCAATGATATCACAATGAAGAAAGTTAGTTTGTAACTAAGCTGTCAAAATTTAATTTTCATAATTTGTTAAATAGAATCTAACGTTTCAGAGAGCCCTTGACAGTACCAGATTATTAGCTTGGTTTGAAACATCCAGCTTCTGAAGCGTGGAGAGATGTGACTCTCAGAGTCCTATCTCCCACATATTTAACTTAATTTAGTCTCCAGGTTTACTGACCTGTGTGCCAGAGGAAGTTTTTAAATAAAAAAATAGATATTTTGAAAGTGCTTTTGTCTTTTTCTTTAAAAACATAAGATCAGCACACTGCTCAGAGAAGCTGAACACTGTAACTGATCCTAACTGGAGTTAGATAAAGGAGAACATCTACATTTCTCCACTCAGCTCACCCCTCAAACTTGGTCTGGGCTGCCAAATCCCTGGCCTCTCTGAGAAGAGCCTGCCAGTTATGGCAAATGGCATAACTTTCATTCATATAAATATTTGTTTTACACCCTGAGCCATATTTGAATGGCTTGTGCATCAATTCACTGTACTGTCTCCAGAAGCCAATTACACTGAATTTCACCGTTTTAGTTATTTTTACTACAACTGTGGATAAACAAAAAGCCAAAGGGCACTGGAGTGTGCTTTAATTCATTCAGTATATGGTTGGCTATAGATGGATAATGCCTGCAGTACTGAGGGCTAGTTTGGTACTCAAAGTTGCAGTTGTCCAATTTTATTTCTACATATAGCTGCAAGTTACTTACTGCATTTCTAGTCTATTTGTATAACCTAGCCAAGCCTCTGAACACAGTTTTTTAATGCCCTTTGCATTCTAGTGCCATTTAACTTAGGAAACAAGTAGGGAAAAGCAAAAGAAAACCCAAACCTGAACTAGAAGTGAGAGTGCCTAATCAGAAAGACTGTATGTATATCACAAGTTTCTTCCACAGGCTTACTCTATTTTTGGAGAAAAGCAAATTTAGGCTTAAGGTATAAGATTTTCCACCAAGTCCACTATCTACTTCTTAAATGTGTGCTGCTTTAAACTCTGCAAAACATGCTCCCACAATCCATTAAACATCTTCACTAGGACCTGTGCAGGAAAGGAGGAGAAAAGCTGTCAGGTACACATATCAAAATAATAGTTTCGTTAAACAAGGAGCCTTAAAAATGCTCCTGAACTATTTAATTCCTCGTTTGATATGTAAGTGCTATGAACCACCATACAACATTTTGAACATTTATAAGAATTTAAGAGAAGCCTTTGGTGTACTGTAAGACCATTTAAGACTATTTAAGGAGCAGATTCCCACTTAAAACACCTATTCCTACATATCATTTGTTTCAAAATAAAGCCAAAAGGCCAGACTACTGAGCTAAAGGAGAAACACCCAGTATTCACAGGGCACTGCAAAGGCAGCCTCTGGTTCACCTTCTAGAGAAAGAGCTACACTATGTAAAACACTTGAAACACTAATACAGTGTTTATTAAAAACAGTTTGTAACACTAATACGCATGTTATGAGGAATGCGCATGGATTGAAATATTTGCCACCAGGATAAAATGATTAAAGATTAGGCAATCAGTTTAGAAAACAAGGTTCTGAAATCAAGCACTTCAGTGCCAACACCTCCCTTTGAGCCCAGTTAGCTCTGCTAACTGCCCAGTACTCCTGAAGAACAACTTACTTGAGAGTAACCAAGTTTTCATTTTCAAATGCTCTTCTAAAATCCTGATCTGACCCAATTCAGTGGCAAGAGGATTACATCCTCCCATCCTGCCTTGTGTTAGGTTTTGTGCCTGGTTAAACTGAGTGGTGCATGCAGAAGAGGGAATATCAACATTTCAGTGCCCTTTACCCAGGACCAAGATGGCCTGCTCTGCTTCATCCCACACTTTCCTCTCATAGCAATCCATTGGAACAACGGCTCTCGATTCTAGACTGTCTCACTACAAGCTTTATTTTATCCCTGCTCCAAAATATGGCCCCATCTCCTCCCCCACATAAGTATATCCTATGTGACATATAACACCAGAAAAGCCCATTTATCAATAAGCTGCAAATTCCTTTGATCTTCTGATCAAGCTGCCAATGTTTTAAGGCTCCCCCACCAAGGGAGCCTTCCGCAAGTGAGACACAGAGTTGCTGCCAGCCAGGTTAAATATAAACCATGTGCTCTGCAATCAGTGTTCGTGAGGAAACAAAACTTCAGATAACCGAAGTATATTAAGCCTTCCATAATGGAAGTTAGGCGATGCTTTTCCAAGTGCTGTGATAATATCTTGAATTGCATGCTATCTTAGTACCCTGACAGGCTGCTTTTCTCCCTAAGTTTTACGCCTGCTACCGTCTGAGTTAAGACAAGCCACTGCATAAGGTATCATTAAAAATTAGGTAAGACACTGAAGGAGTTCAGTAAGTCCTGACTATTGCAAATAGTACAGGAAGTGTAAATGCCTGCATGTTCCCAAGTTACTGTATATATTCTCTAACTTTCTGTAGTGTTTTGCATATGTTAAGTAATCCCTAATTTCGGGGTTCCCTTACCTCTGCCAAAAAGTTTGTTGGCTGGAGACATTTCAATAAATTGTTCCATTCTAGAGCACTAGAAATAGTTTGAGTTTGTTGGGTTTTTTTCTTCCCTTCCCCCATCCCAAAATTTAAGTATTCTTCATACACATTAGACCATGGACATTTTGTGCTCTGTTGCTTTGGATATATATTAATGTGTAATTTTAACTCAGGTACCTACCATTACAGCAACAAAAGAGAGATATAGAACTCTCCTCTTCTAACCTGTACTTGCCCGAGTTTGGTAAGTCTTTGCACTGCGATATAAACGTCTGAAGTTCTGTCTCTGGAAAGCCATCTTTCTGGTAGTGCTAAAAAAAAAAAAGTAATTAGTTAAATTTTTAACAAAGCTAAACATACAATAATCCAAATCCTTCCAAGACCGCTTTTCAGATGCTGGTCAAGGCTGAAATTAGAAAATTCAAACAGTTGAATATGAAATCACTGCTTTTAAGTAGATATTTAGCTTCCATTGGAACAGGAAATCAGATAGGCTTGTAAGAAAACTGAAGTAGGGAAGGAATAAAAATCTCTCCTTGTCATTTCTCTATACCCTCAGAAGTATATCATTATGTTTACTCTTTAAATTGGCATACACAGCAAGTCAAAATATTGAGGGAGATGAGTCTCAATAACACCAACCTTGTCTTTTTATTCCAACCAAAGAGTAAGAGTTCATTCTCACCTTGATGGTTTCATATGTATCTGTAATGAGTGCAATGAAGAGACTTAGCACCATATAGATGAACAGACTGATGAAGGAGTAGAGGTAGATCCTACTGAATAACCAAACCAAGTAACTTTTCTGCTGCATTTTTGCAAAGGTGGCAAACATGTCATCTCCATTTATCAATGAAAAAAGGCATTCAGAAACCATATTCAGAGAACGGAACTAGAGAGGATGAAAAAAGATAATTACATTGGTGTCCACTTTATTCAAATTCAAAGATTGTACCTAACAAGAAGAAGATATACAGCTGCTGACTGGCTGCCTTGGATCTCAGCCTTTTTATCTCCAGATTATGACAAAGTGCAGTGCTAACAGGAAAATATCTGGGGAATGAACAAAGGTGGTCAGCCCCCCCAAACGCATTCAATTCATTCACCTGTAAATTCTTGCTAGAGCGGATAAGCCAATTTCACTTTTATAATGGACAAGGATAGAGTCTTGAAAGCTTTAGTCTAACACTGCTGTTCTGCATAATGAAACTTGTTTCTCAAAACACCACACAGGACTCCCAGCATGTGATTGAGAGTCACAGCAGCTTCCACTTCTAACTCAGAGCTTTCATAACTAGAGGAAAGTCTGACTGAGTCATGAAAGTATGACTCCTCAAACAGAGCAGCATCATGTAGACGATGCACTGTTTTTATATTAAGGGAAGCCTTGACACTGAAACCTAGAAGACAGCAGTAGTAATGCATCATTTATTAGGAACGCATTCTACTATTCCAGTTGCCTTTTTCATGTCAAGCCATATTACCTTCACATGGTATGGTCCCAGTACAATCCATCCACAGAAGCAATAGCCCAGATAGATCATAGCAGCACAACAGCAGAACCTCATTACATTAGGCAGTGCTGCTCGCAGTGTTAGAATGAGAAGCTGCAGAAACCAAAACAAACAGTTAGAATTCAACCAGACATTTCTTCCAGTTGTCTGATAACAATGAACAAAATAAATACCAACAGCACGAAGATCCCAGGAGATCCTTACATTATACTTCTGAAAGAAACCGAGGTAGCGAATGACTCCAAGCCACACAAGCATAGTAGATGTTCCTAGGAGTATGCTACAGACATCATAACTTGTCAGACTCTGGAAAAAAAAAAATCAAGTATTATAACAGCTAACAGGCTCCAGATTGCAACTCCCATTACTACACAGATCTGTTAAGAAATTTTGTTATCCTTGAAAATCTCTCCCATTAAAAACTACTTGGGGCAATATATATTAGAGAGTAAACGTCCCACCAAGGAGCAAGGGAACATGCAAATGTAATTCATTTCACATGCCTTATATATGGATGTTTCTCAAAATGATTTTGAAGGCCAACAGCACATCTGCACCACAGCTGCAGAGACACTCACTCTATACCTGACTCACTAAATCCTGCAGAGCGGCACTGCAAACATTTTTATGCTGCTTCCAGAACCAACTGCAAATGTTTCCAGAATCCAGCAACAGCATCAACAGATTCCCACTACCAGCAAAGCATTCTCCCTCCCCCCAAAAAGCATGACTTTTCAGCAAAGTTCAGATAAATATTAAGGAGGATCTTGCAATGTAAAAAGGAACTAGCAGCTGTCAAGGAGAAGAATAATTAACTTCTAAATTAGTTCCAAGTAGAACTTTGTTTATATTTTATTGGCATGGCACTGTTTTTCTACCTACACATACTGCCCTATTTTCATCCAAGTTAGCACATACACTGTTCCTTGAATTACAGCTCTACTCGGTAATTAACTGTCCCAAAATAGGATGTCCTACTCAGATCAGGACAGCCTACTTGAATAAAAAGTTTTCACTATTTTCTGTTTTTATTCATCTAAGAGCTGGCTAATCTTGCATATTAGAAAAATTAATTTGTAGCTTGAAAAAAAAAACAAATTTAGACCACTTTAATATGGTATTTTTACAGTTATTCAGCTGATAACTTTCATGTGGTGACTCGAAACAAGATCTTATTATATGACCCACAAGGCTTGCAAAATCAATGAAATGTGCCTGTAGAGAAGAGTGTTAGTAAAATACTGTTTTAGGAAAGACACATATCTAAATATATGTATTTGGATATGTAAGATACCAAAATCCCAAACACAAGATCTTACTCCAGTCTCGTTCTCATCTTCACTTTATCCCAAAACAGGATGGAGTTATCTTTTATCTCAGCTAACTTCCTCTTAGCTTCTTTTTATTCCTCAGAATTGAGTTTATAGCTCCTAAGCTAAGATAGGGCAATTTGTGCAGGGCGTTTGTGACAGTCAAGCTGTCACCAGATGGATTTCAGAATTATCCTTTCATCACTATAGTCCAAAGTCTGTTGTGTTGCAATGTCACACTTCAAAGTCTGCTACAGATTTGGTGAAGAACAACACTACCTGAATGTTAGAATGCTTGAGGATAGCATATTGCAATATTTCTTTTTCACTAATTCTGGCTGTATGTAGTACCTTAACAAAGATTTTTTTTCTACAGTGAGTTTTAGAAATTGAGGGCCTAGAACCAGACTGTGGCTGGTTTTTATGTACATGCTGGAAACTAGAAGCTGGGAAAGCAGCAAAGTGATGTTTAAGGAGACATTCTCTGTGCCAGCTAAACACTTGCTAGAGGTGAAACAGAAAGTTACATGCTAATTTAAAAAAACACATCCAATTATCAAGGATAAGTGGTCCTAAATGGGGAGAGGAGATGAAGTCAATAGTTTTCAGCTTTCAGAGATAAAGTTAATTTTATTTCTTGGAGTCACAGAAAGGGGCAAAGAGGAAAATAAATGTAATATCTAGTGACTGTTGGAGTTTTTAAATCTCACAACTGGAAACAACACATCTGAATTATAGTTCCAGAAGAGAAGACGGAGTTTTAAAATTTCATACCACTCAAAATCAAGTATCGCAAGCCTAGAGTCTTCTGAGGGATTTAAACCCAGCTGGGACCAACATAACCAGTTTTGCTTCTGCCTAAAAATGTAAATATCTTACCTTTGCTTGTATCTCCATCTTTAAAGTTGATCCAACAATAGTTAAGACATCACTAATTATAATCAGGATGTACCACCCATTGACAAATTCCATTTGATCATTGAAAGACACTTCTTTCTTATAATAATATAGGAAAAAGTTTACAAATTCCTAGGGGGAAGAAGGCAAGGAAGAAGTTAATCAGGCTAACAAAAGACACAAACACTTTGCACAGAAAGAGTTACACCCACCCTTTGGAGCCGAATTCCTTTAACCACCGATCGTGTGCAAAGGATTAATGAGGCCAGACAAATCAGTATAACAAAAGCATCAAAAATCATCATGTAATGAGTATTCTTCTGTACTGCAAGAACAAAAATGAAGAAGTTTAAAATAAGATGCATTTCATCTTGTGGACCAGCTTGAATATTCAAGTAAGAATATCAAGTTTTGCTATTTGTTATATTTATACAACTAAATTAAGAAAAATCTTAGCACTTCTCCCTTGAAAGCTTGTCTAATATTTTCATGAGATACAAATATATCTACACTAGATATACCACTTCAATTAATTTAGGAATAAAAAATATCACACATCAGAGAGTGAGTGCTTCTTAAAACCCTGCAAAATTAGAGCTGAGGGTTCTCCATTTTATAAGCACTGGACTGGCCTTTGGAGCCATAGACCTTGTCTAAAAAAATTCCAGGTATTTTACAGTATGCATCTTCTTTTCCAAGCTAGTATTTGACTAACAGATGGGTTTTCTCTCCTAGAGCAATGCAGATAATTTGCACAGCTGTTCAGATAGCCAAGAGCAACACTGAGCTGGACATGCGTTCCCCATCTCTTAGGTTACTAAAAGTCACATTCTTGATAAATTAAGGTCGCAAATTTTGCACCAATATTACCACTAGACATCTTATTTTTTGTTATACCTATCATACAGCTGGAACTAGATGGAGACAGGATAAGAAGAATTACATTTTTAAAGCTAAAAGAGGGATTCTATTTGAAGAAAAAATTGTAACACATTAATGTTAAAATTGCAAAAACAGGCAGAAAAATCTCCAAAACAGGATACTAACGTTCTAGCTGACTTCACAAAGACACCTACTGTTTTACCCAGAAAGAGCCCACCTACTCCTTGCTTTTACTAAAGTGACTAACACATATACTGTTGGCATTTAAGTTGGTTTTGCAGTTTAATACAAAATAAATACAATTTGTTATTATCCGTTTGCAATCATTTCCTGTCTATTTTTTCCTTGGGTTTTATAATACAATACAGGGTACTCCAGGAGATGATTTTGGAAACTGTTACAGAGCTGGACACTAGGCAATCTTGATAGCTATCAAATATGAATTATTACAGAAGCCTGGTATCAAAATCATACTGCATTGCTGCACAAGCAATCTACTAGATAGCATGCCATCTGGCGTGCTTTCATAACACGGCAGCTAGCAATGCTAGTTGATAAAGACCGTTAGTGGAATATGTATTTGCATGAGTGGTGTTTTGTCCTCTGTAATGCATTTCACAAAGCTCCAAAAATTAATTCCAATCTAGGTCATTACAAAGAAGTCTCCTTTTTACTACCAGCTCTTCATGGGGTAATTTCCTAATGTTAACATAGCAAAGGGGCAAGTGGTAAAGTAGAGAAAAGATCTTATTTATCCTAGTGCTTATTTCAGCAAAAAGGTAAGAAACAACAAACGAAATTTAGACTCCTGGAAAACTTCTTCCAAAGAGATTAGTTTTGCCAGTCAAAAAGATGTCATACGAGCTTTGACCAGATCCAACAGCTGCTAACAAAGGGTGCTCTTGTTAGTAACTGATTTAAGATATCTAGTCATACCGTGCCTCTCAGTTACGCTCAAATACATGACCAAAAACATTTAAGGAGCAATCAGATGTGTTGCTAGCCACTTCAATCTGGCAATTAGCAAGAGTGCTTCCTTATTTTTTCTTGTGTTAAGTCCTGAAATAAGAGTGAATTAGTTTCAACTTTCCACCATTATCACATGACCTGTTGCTTGGGACCAGAACAACGGCTCACAGCCCTGCCTTAACCAATGAGGAGCATAAATTTAGTAGCTAAAACTAGGAAGATAAACAATGATTTGTGGAAAAAATTTCAGTTGACAGCATCAGTGGTACAAGGTTTGAGATCTGCTAATGAGAGTAATGGTATGTCTGGATTCCCAAGATTTCGAATTAAAAGTTTAAGAGCAAAATAACAATTATTTAGAGAACAGGATTTAGAATTTACCTATTAGACAATATATGTCAATAGTGCCTCATCTTTCAATAAAGAAAACAGTTAACAAACATTGTACTACTGTGACAAAGTTTAGCATGAAAATTTGAACACATTTATATCACTTACTTGATCCAGAAACATGCCAGTCTTTACATTCCCTGATTGCTATGTCGTTGTCTAGACTTATTTTAATTCTTCCGCTATGTGCTTTATTATCGAACACTATCTGTATTAACAAAAAATATTAATAAATAGTGCATGTCTTTTTAAAGTTAAACCATTATATATTTAGCATATTGTATTGCTAACCTTGCATAATGATTCTGAACAATACTCCTAGGGGAGAAATCACAAAGCTTGTATAAGCTTAAGGTAGTTCCAGTTTATTCAGATAAATACTTTTAAAACAAAAGACTTAAGATGGTGGACCACAGATTTGCCACGAATTTGCAATTTGCTACAAATTGCTTGATCAACTCAATATGGAAATACAAGTGAAATTCTTTTAAATTACAGCCTCACTCCTCCATGATCTGAAAACAATTATTGCTAGAAGGATCTCTCTAAAGAGAAGATGTTTATGCTTTTACGGTATTTCAAGTGGATTAGAGCACACAAGGCTGTAGGCCAAACGAGTGCTTAAGGAGTATATACCATCAGGAGCACCTAAAGCTTAACCTCCTATAGTTGCAACTGACAGTTATTTATGGGATACTAAGTCACGACAAAGTAATCCGGGCACCACTGGGGACCAGTTAATGATGCTCAGCACTCTTAAAAAAAAAAAAAAAAAAAAAAAAAAACTTCTGCACTGACTGTAGATCAGTGAGAACTAGTTCCCATCTTGAACAGAAAGATACACGGCAGGCGTCTACGTACCGTCAGAGTGAAATCGTAACAGTCAGGGAGTTCGTGGTGGCGAACAGTCTGGAGGTTGATTGCCTTCAGATTGAACCTGAGCTGTACTGTCACTAGTCTGCAATACAGCTTCATATTAGATTTTCACAGGGGAAAATGAACACATCAGTATAGAAAGCAGCTATTCTTCCTCACCTGTGGAAATCTAGAGTGAAATTCAAATTGTGTTTTCCCACAGTTCTGTTGTCTAAAGGTATCATTGGCTCAATGTACAAGCAGTCTGCAACGGATAAGTACACACAGTAATATCAGGTGGGTTATTACACGCTTTTTAACTGTAACCTGCCTTTTTCATTCTTGAGGCTGTAAGAGCTGTTGACTGTAGTAGCCAAGATAGCATGCTTAAGAGATGCGCCATTTTGGAGGCTAGTTTACAAATACGTTTGCTCCCGTGGCAAAGTTATTCCTCATGAATTAGGTGTTTAAATCTTGCTTCACAGGGAAGACTTGTGAAATTAGCCTGAAATACTTGCATTACACAATCATGGGTGCTAACGGCTCATCGCTTTTTTGTGGAAGTAGGCATAGAGGGCTGTTTTGTTGAAAGTAAGGAAGAGAGGTTAGTTATACAGTGGTTTTCTTATCTGTTTTGGTTGGTGATAAGTTTAATACAGACCGTTTGATAGGACTATAAAATACTAGATATTTTTTAAGAATTCATCATAATTAGAAGGTCCTTCCTCCCAAAGAAACGATATAATAGATTAGATTCATCACCAGTCACAATCTCCGGGTCTATATCAAAGGTGTCATTTCCAGGACAGATGGTTCCTCGCTTGTAGAATTGCTGACATACAGCCAGAGCTGTCTCTTCTGCTCCCCTCTTTTCATAAGCATGGTTTCCAACAGAGATGTTGGGCAGCTGTAAGTACTCAAGTTCAGAACAAATAGACAAACCAAGTCAGATGCACCAGAAATGTTGGTTTCTGAAAAAGTCAGAAGCATTTGGATCTGTGCTATAACCCATCTTTTCATTTTAAAGTTCACCTAAAGAGTGTGGAAACCTACACTACACCACTCTAAAGCTGAGTCCTCAAATACTTTTAAGGTATTTGGCAAAGGCAAGAAATGCAGGATTAGGGTCTAAATAACTCTTTGCTTACTATTTTTTTCTGTTTACAATCCTTACTAGAAAGCCTAATTCACTATTTGCAAAGCATGCTGGCTCCAATACAAGGACTTCATTTAATGCAGAAGTAATATACTGACCAGCTTTAAAGATGTCTCCGTAAGTCTAATGCTCTGGCAATGACAGATACTCTGTTTCTTTTTTCTGACAAATCACTGGATTTATCCATCAGTTCTTTTCAGAAATGGCTTTATTCTAGGTGAATAACAATATTCAGCTATTTTAGCAACTAATTTAGCAATACTTTATTTCTGAGAGGCCTAATGCTTCTAATGCTTTGACCAATGACACAGAAAACCATGTGATAGCATATATCTGCTTTTATGTAATGGGGGTACAACTCTGGTCAAAGGGCTAGTACATCCAGTTCAAAGGATCTCCCCAGCATACCGGACCCTCAGTATATTAGAGCTTATACAGTAGTACATACTTGAATCTCCTTCCTGTTTCTAGTGTAGGCAGAAGAGTGAGATCAAAGTCTCTGTAGGGTTTCTCTAGTCTTCCATTAATTCTCTGCTCCATTTAACTCCTTATTAGTTTAGCCCCAGTCTGTAGCCCCAACACAACAATCAAGGACACCGTATAGGAAAAGTGGAAAAACAATCATTCCATCCCACTTGCGCTGCAGGTTTCCAAACTAAAGCCAAACATTCAGTAAGTTTTACTTAATCTTTAACAATCTTTGAGTTTGTCCCATGTTCAGTGATATCTGGAAAGCCAATACTTCTCCAAATAATAAAATTTGTATTATTTAATATCAGGAATAAAGTAGTAGCATGTGTCTTCTCCTTCCAAACGGCTTTAAGAATTTCTGTCTGTTAGATATCTGGTTTTTTCCACTTGCATATTCTGTAACTCTTGAAGAAAGTTATCTTTGTGTTCAGTAATTCACTGTATCTTATTCTGCTGTCCCCATAGGAACCTATGTGTATGTCAGCTCTTCATACATCCAGATCTTCCTGTTAAATCCTCACTTCTCTTTCCCTGAAGCAAGACACTTTTGTTATCCTTACCTGTTAAATGGAGAACTGATATACAGATTTTTGTATTTACTTCCATAGGGCTTTAACACAAATAAATTTTTAGGTTTAAGCGACCCTCTCAACAGAGGTCTGTGTGAAAGCAGAACACACCCATGTGATGGCACTGTTGCCACTGGGACAGTCATCCTTTTCAATCCAGCAACATCCACTTCAAAATTTAAGGAAGATGAGCTAAATTACATGTCCTATAAAGCATTAAAGTCTTAGTCTAGATAGCTATCTGATAACTGCCAAGAAGCTTGAAGTTAGAGAAGCACTCTTTGGCAGCTGAGTGCTTCAGATGAATGTCATGGTAAGATGCAGGTCTGCCTGTTACAGACCAGCCTTTTGCATTTATGGTTAGAAGTCACTTGACCAACAAATTAGCCATCAAAGAGTGTTACGCTTTATTAAGCACTGAGTTTTGACAGTGTAAATCAGGTTTATTAACCAAATAGAAGCAGATTATATTTTGTTTTCTTTAGATAGGTACCACAACAAGCATTGACTGGCAGTTGATTACCTATTGATACACACCACTTAAAAACTGTGATGTAAGGACAAGTAGCAAGATCTGTATTACTGTATCTTTGCCTATGCAAAGTATGTGATAATATGCTCTGACCTATAGTACCAACTTCTAGATAACTCAGTGCAAAGAAATAGCGTAAGGGAAAAAACATTACTGATTTATTTGCATCCGACTGGATCATTTGCACCACCAAAAAATAGTAACAGCTATCCAGAGCCATAGCTTTGTGTGTAACCTGTACTACTTGCTATCTGGTATCCATTTTCTTAGTTTGTTCAAGTTTGAGTGTAGTTCCTTTGACAAATGTCTCTAGATTGGTCCCCTTCATAAGGAGGGAAGATAAGAATGATCCACCCAGAAAGTTACTGAGTCCACTCTGGAGCATAGATGTGGCATGAAGACTTCCTGCAAGCAGTCACTCTGACCCACCCTCCCCCCCCCCCTTTTTTTTTTTTTTAGCTATCCCAGTTTTTATTCTAAAAAAGCCTGGTTTATTTTGAATTTAAAATCCTCTTTTGAGGAGTCCTCTATCAAAAAATCTGAACAAGTCAACATTCTTGGTTTAAGAGACTGGTACAAGCTCAGTTTGAGACACTGTCAGGGAAGGAGGAAGAAGAAAAGGTTCATGGGTAATGAGCATATAGATTATATACATTGTAGTGACAATCCTTACCTGGTTTATTGCAAAGAATATCTGGTCATAAACATCTGTTTGTCTGTATACAGCATAGGTATCATCTACTCTGTCCATGTATCCTTTCAAGAAGAGATGCTTGAATGCTACAGTGTTCTCTTCCTTGAAAGCAACCACCATTTGATTGCTCAATCCAAAAACCACGAGCTGAAAAAAGACATTTATATGTCCTGTTTGAAGACAAAGTTGGCTTCTGCATTAAAATTCCGTTCCTGTCCTACAAACAGACACTCTTTCATCACACTGATAGACACAGCACTTACATGCACGCTACTCCATTTCATAGCAGGTCAAAAGAAAGTTTGACTTCAGGAAAACATTGGCTTTCAATAATGTTTCTTTAACACATTTACTGGCATCTTGGCCAAGGACTCACCTTTTTAAAAAGAAAAGGATACCATCTCAAATCCAAGCTACCCATATACTGTTACACATGGTTTGTTAGCTCAGTCTGATGTTGAAAAGACTTGCCTCAGGGAATATCAGTGTTCCTCAGCCAAAAAGGCAGGCAGAACATAACCAGATCCCACTTTGAAGTCCTAACTCCAGTGTAGAAAAGGGAGATTAAGGACAACTCAGAAAAGCAAACATTTATCCCTCAGGTTTGGGTGAAAGGTGCTTTGCGAGTAACTGATGAGCACTGTGCTTGTAACAGGATAACCTTCGTAGCTGTTAAAAAATATATTGCAGCTGTTCATGAAAAGCTAGCTTAAAACCCTGCTAGATACTATCCAGGATGGAAAAGGTTTCTAGAAGAATGTGAGGTATTGTTTGTGGGAACTCATGATTCTCTTTAGTGACTACTGTGTCATACCTATTATCAGGAGCATTATGAAAAAATGTGTCAGGAGACAAGGCTGAATCAGTAGTCTACAGGTTAGTTCTATGGCCTTGATACAAACTGGCTTTTGATAAGGACAGCTCAGTCAGAGATACTGAAATGCTCTGCGGACAAGTTCAGTATTGCAGGGACACCAGAATACGCTGGGGAATCAATAGTGCTAAGATTTCATTACCTACTGGCAGATTTTCTCTGAAAAAGATAATTCAACAGTAGTTTCTTTCTTATTTAGACTCTTCCACCATCAAATTTTATTTCTAGTTACAAGAAGGAACAGATGAAGATCAGAGGATGTCTACATATTTAAAACATCAGTGGTTAAGTAGAGAATACAAATATACTGCCAGATGTATCGCAAGAGAATTGATATACCTGTGGTTCTTCCCATCATTCATGCAACCGGGGAAAACATTCTTCTCCAAGCTCATACTTTCATAGCACTGACATCACCTTAAATCTAAATCACATTCAGACAGTTCTGAGGGATTATTATCTGAGGCATTTCAAAGGTTATATGAAAAAACTTTCTTCTTCCTTAACCACAAACTTTGAGACAAATAATTGCATTCCAGGCAGCAGATAAATTTGTTAGATGAAATCTGTGGTGCAAGGCTGGGTAAGAGGAAGAGTGGAACAGAATTTCAGGTTTATTCAGAACAAGAGAGTTTATACACCACATGCAAGACGCAAGGAAACATCACGAAGCAGCTACCAATTTCAGTTTTTATGACTGTGATATTGTACTATAAGCCACTGTTGCTTTCCCACCACCACACACACTCAGAATGAAGAAGGTGCTGAGGGAGAATACACATGTAAGGATGCCATCTTTTTAAAAAAGTAAAGTGAAAAATAAGGTAAAGTCCTTAAACATGGTTACTGTAATCTCCACTCTTAGGAAAGCTATTTTTCAGTCAAGACTACTAAGAAAAAATTTTACCATCTCATTTCTAAGCTACGTATATGCAACCAAGACGGTTTTGCACTCTATCCTCTCCCTCTTTCCATAGCAGACCAAGAATAGCATTTTTCATTTGCACTCCTTATTTGAATTCTCATGGACTAAGAAGAGTCCCTGCTTCCAGAGTTACTCACCTGGATAGTAACCATTGCTATTTTGAGTAGCTGAATCCCAAGTTTCCAAGGTTTCCTTCCCCGGGCCCAAAATTTTTCACACGGGTTCATGAAGAAGAATTTTAACTTCCTTCTAAGCTGGTCTTCCAAAAGCAGCTGCTGTGATACTGATGGGCGTTGTCTGCAGCTGCAAAGATTTTCATCATCCTGAGCACTGGAGCTACTCACAGCCACTTCAGGATTTTCCATTTCTGGAATGAAAAAAAAAAGTTCATGTCAGTTGGAAAAACATGTAAGCATTAGTATAGTAACATCAGATCAGTCTGCACTGACTGCCTGGACGATATAGATATTTATCTTCTGTGAGGAGTGCTTATATGTTACACTGAACTAAAACCAAGGCCTGACTCATAATATTGCACATGTTCTGCAGAACCCATATCAGTAAAAGGTAAGTTTCAATTAGTCCTTAGATTTACGGATAGAAGGTCAGGAGATTTATTTAACAGTGGAATTTCTGTCCCTTTGGAATTACAGACTCACTTGCTGAAAACCTCTTCCTCTCTCACTTCCCAACATTAAGATCATATTTGCAAGACATTCTGACTCATTTCCTTTTGCGTCTAGAAGAGTACCGAAAGTCTCTTATTAGTGTTGACTCTTACGGAAATTTATCTAGTTTTATGCTTTCTGTATAGTTTGCTCCTGCATCTACAAGTCTTCTGTCCAATACTAGAAAGAGACAGGACTTTAAAGACAAAGAGCATTTTTTTAGACATTAGTGTTAGCATTGATGACTCTTGACAGTGGAGATCTGGCATGCCAAATTGCAAATCAGGTAAACTACGTGAGCATATTAACTTTCATGTAACAAGATTAGGTCTATTTCTACAGCCATAAAGGCTACAAGATTGAATGCAAACCAATGACAACCATGAACCAGACAAAAAAGACCAGAAGGTAATGGTTTTCAAGCCTCATGATTAGAAGAGGTTGACATTTTAGCTGTGTATGAAGGAAAAGATTATAAGAGAATCTTATAAACAGTTTGAGAGTTTATTCTCCACAGTATTCAACATGTTTAGACATTAATCTCTTACTAACTTCACTGACTCCCAACTATTTTACAAATGCTTTATAAAGCATTTAATAGGTAGCCAAAAACATTTATTTCAAAGAAAAGATTGCTGATACTGGGAACAGAGGAGACAGTCTGAATAATGAATAAATTGAAAGAGGTGCCATATTATAGACCTTTAATTTCCCCAGGTGTTGGACATGCTAAGAAAAGTTTTGGATCAGCAATTTAACACTAAGAATGCACCCATAAGTAGATTTAAAAAAAAAGCCCAAACACTTCAGATCCTATTTTATGAAGTCTCCTAACGTGCAGAGGTTTCCAGTCTTCTTTACCGCAGCTGACCAACCATTTCTAAGTTAAGACTACTCAGTCCTACTACGATATTGCAATACTCCTGTCAATGTTACGCCCGATTTAAAATACATACGTATGCTTCTTGATCTCGTGGTATCAGCTTCAGAAGTGGCTCAAGATAAACCTGAAACACAGCAAGTATTTTCTCGTTAACCTGCACATAGACAATAGCTTCATATATGGGCTCCAAACCTAAGATGACATCACAGTATCTAGTCTCTGAACCAGGCAGTCACCTTCTCACAGCAGAAACACTGTTCCCTTCATCCTCTCTTCTGAGCCGTTACAACCGGTTAAAAAGCAGCCTTGTCCATCAGCCCATTAAGACCTGCCTATGCAGGTTACAGGCAACAAACAACGGTGGGAAGAGGGGGGCTCCTACGCCGGCCGGCCGGCCGGCACGCGTGGCTGCCCTCTGCAGTCTCGAGGTACAGGGGGG